AAAACTGAAGAAGTGACTGTTGCAAACTATTGGGACGTCATGGATTAATAACTGATTTATTATAGTGCATGAATAGTCCGTATTAATTATTCATATTCAGTGCACTCAACCATCCAAAGTTATTTAATTAAAATTACATATGATTACTATAAAATAATAGTTAGCTGTGCAGCAACTGCAACAATCATCCTGTAATATTTGCACTGATGTCCCATTTTCAATTATTTGCGTCTGTGTATGAGCCCTTAGTATTTAGCTGGTACCCAACTGCTCCAAAAAAAAAAAACATCATTCTGGAAGTCTTACGCTGAGGCTTGAAAAGAAATTTTAAAGAATATTCTAATTACTAATCACATTAATTCCAACCTATAAACATTTGTTTTGACACATGCTGTACCGCCACATCGTACGGGAGAGGATGTGATTTCGCCAACGGAAAAACTAGTTCTTTTTCGATTCGTCTATTATTCGTTTTTTGCAGCTATGCAATGCAGAAAGCGCATACTGACGAGGGATTGCCTGCGTCTGTGTGTGCGTCTGTACCGATTTTTCATCTCAACACATATAAAAACTACAGGGCTGAAACTTTGGGAGCTTAATCTACATGCATGTACCGGCATCAATCCCCAAAATGGGCGCCCTTACCCGCGTGGTACCCAAGGTCGAGCCCGCCAAAGTTTTTTACGGGTAGGCTGCTAACTCGGGAACCAAAAATACTGGGGAGGTTGAAATTTTAAGGGGTCCCCGTCCAAGTAGGTACAAATGAGCTCAAACCCTGCCCGCTGGTAAACGTGGTATCTACGTACTGGCCCGTGAAAATTTCCTTCAGGTAAGTTGCTAACTCGAGAACGTGAGGAGCTAGAAGACTGGAATTTTGAAGGGATGTTTCTTGAGAGCCCTGGCGGCCAGTCTGAAATTCTTTTAGCTAGAAGCATCTGCCGGAAAAACCAGTGCCGTTAGCGACAAATATCTGCGGGGAGCTATGCAAAAAACGCATCTTTGCGCGGGCAACCCGTGCGTTGGCCAATTATTCCTTTCGATAGCAAACTGCTACGGAAGCATACCAAGACGACAAGTCTCTCGGAAAAGGGAATCTCGGAAGTCTTGCTAGCGGTCAGCCACACGGCAACCGATATTAACTACGCCCTCAACTCATAAAAAGAATTAACAAAGAGGTGGTTTTGGTTTAATAAACAAATTATGATCAATACTTCAAATAATTTTTAAATAAACGAATAAGCAAAGATAAAAAATGGCAAAAAGATTCTGTAACACTACTTTATACAAGAACTGCTACTTTTAAAGCTGTTGCTATGAAAAACAGTGGTCTATAATTTGAACTTTTACTGTAATTTGAACCTATGAATTCAATTTCGCAAAATTGCCGGAAGCATGCCGTGCAAATTAAAAATCATGCTGATGCAGTGCACGAATTTTTTTCAAGTTTCAGACAAATGCCGCCGATTTTCGAAAAATTTTATTTAATATTGCCACCACAGGATTTTTGCAAGAAAAAAACAAACCAAGTGAGGATGATTTGCATCAGAACTTTCAGATTCGGGTATTTGTAATAAGCTTTTTTGATAAGTATATCCGTGTTCAGCGAGGTCCACACCAGCGAAATGAGCCAGGCTTTCCAGTAGAGCGTCCTCACAGCTAGCGACGGCAACTCATTCCTGCAGTCAGTACGAATTCCATGCAAACTTACTATTTTCACAAAAAAATCTCAACAGAAATTTGCAATAAATAGCGGCGCGCACCACGATAGCCGGTGCGATCATGCTTTTTGCACAGTTCCGTCCAACGCATGTTTGCCTGCTAGGGATTTTCACTGCTTTGCAGTTTGGTCCGTGCAAAAATAATAGAAATGTTGCTCGGTTTCTAAGTTGCGAGGTTTCCCACTAAAGCCTTGCACAGTAAACATCCTTCCAAAATCAACCAACCTAATTTTCTGGCTTTTGAGTGAAGTACAGCCAGTATTTTTATGTTTTCGTGTTTGAGACCTCGGCATATTTGGGGAATAAATTTGAGTTTATGCGGCCTCTGCATAAACAGAAAACATCCTCCTGAAATCCTCAGCCCCCTACCTCGTCTGGCTTCCAGGTAATAATTCCTCCCACCAAAACATTCACAAGGACGTCGAGACCCAGACGTACGTGAAAGCTAAATTTGGATATGCAGGATCGCGCGCAGATGGAGGACAATAGCCTAAAATTTCGGCTTCTCAGCTCTCGCGGTTCCCAACATAATCTTCTCTAACAAAACTTTTACAGGGTCGCACGTGGTACCCAGACCAAGGGGAAGGCTAAGTTTAAAATTCCGGAGTAGCATTTGGGCAGCGCACATTACCTTAAAATTTCAACTTCCTAGCTTTTATGGTTGCCGAGATAATAATTTCCCCGTCCAAACTTTCACGGGACCGTGTGCGAAACCCGAGGGCGCGGGAATGCTGAATTTAAATTTGCTAAGTGGTTGTATGTGGGCAGCGTATGTTACCACAAAATTTCAACTTTCTAGCTTTCGTGGTTCCCGAGATAATAATTTCCCCCATCAAAGCTTTCACGGAGTCATACATGGCACCCGCGAGTAAGTGAAGGCCGAATTTAAGCTTGCGAGGTCACAGGTGGGTGGGGAACATTCTACCAAAATTTCAGCTTCCTAGCTTTTGTGGCTCCCGAGTTGAAAATGCCGCACTCGGACACACACATGCATAACCCCGTGGCAAAATGCGTTTTGTACTGCTTTTACACAGCACAAAACGCATAAAAATCACTTACTCTCGTATACTGAACGTCGGTGGCGGCCTATAAGCCGTAATTCCAAACAGACTATCCAGTAAGTTACAATCACTGATCGGAATCAAGCTTCCTCCGCCTGCAAAATCATCATTTGCTGCTTGCTGATCTTTATTCTATTACGAATAAATTACGAATTACGAATCCTCTATTAATACGAATCCTCTCACACTACGAATAAACTTTAAAAAAAGATGGTTAGCAACAACTTGTGCAGCTTAAAGTTGACTTTATACTGTAACAATTTCAAAAATCATGGAAATGAAATGTAGATTGGCAACTTCAAACTCATCGGAAGTGCGAAATTACTATTCACAAGACATGTGGTGGGAAAGTTCATAATTACCAAAAATTTATGAAAAATGACAAAACCTGATGTTCCTCTGCATATACTCAAAAGACCGAAGCAAAAACTCTGATTGTATAGCATAAATTCATTCATTTTTTAAAGCCCTTGTAATTAGAACACAGCTGTAAATCAGACTATTTCTCTAAAAGTTTTTGACGATTTTTTCATTTGCCCAAACCACTACTGTTGGGAAGCTGAAATTTTAAGGGCATGCAGCCAGTATGCCGATCGATTTCGACATTAGTTCCGTTAGTAAAAGGGTCTAACTGCTCATCAGTTCTGATAATAATAAAAGTATTTGGTAAGGTTTGGAGTGTAAAGTGTTCGGGATGCACATCCCTTAAAGGACCGAAACATTCTTGTTCATCTAATTTTTTTAATAAAATTCTGCGCTTTTTTATATGATATAAATAATATCTCTATTTGGCTGTTCTGAGATATCCTTAGTATAAGCTGATCATCAATACTTTTTCACGGACAATAAGCTTTTTCTTGGTTGATTGGGAGTTATATCATACTTTCGTTTTGAAAACAAGCATAAAAAAGCTTTTTGCTTCAGTTCACTATGCTCTCATGGCTATTAATTGGATCATAATTCTAACACTTTCACCATGTTGATGGTTTATAAGTCAATCTCTCTGCTATCTTCCTCTTCTTCTCTTTTCCTGCCTTCCATTCTTTTCTTTTTCCAATCATCTCCGAACACCGT